ATTTCAAGTGTGTTTGACCATAAATTAAAATATGATTTATAAGTCCCTAAGGTGCTTACTTTTTGATAAATGTTTAATTTTTAAAACATTAATAAAAAAAAAAGGGGGGGGGGGAAATCAGTAAAGCAGCTATTTACAGAATAACGAAATAAACATAGACTTTTAAAAAAATAGTAGAAATAAGTTAATAGGAAGGTGGAAGGGTTAGAAGGAATCAGGAATGATGAAGTATCAGTTATCTATATTAGCAGACATTTTCCTCTTATAGTTACGAAGGGGAAAACTGATATTCTCGAACAATCCTTCATTTTTATTTTTTCATTTATTTATTTTTTTATGTACTATGTCTCCAGTGATCTTTATTTCCAAAGTTATACTTTATGAATATTGAATTTATGATACTGATATTGAATATTGCAGTTGGAATTTCTTTACAAAATTGTATTTTTGTATATATCAGTTATTGCACAAACTTACCATCAGTTTGATGACAGCGAAGGTTAATTACTCTCTCTTTGTTGTAATATGATAATCCCTGTAAAACATGATACCTTGTTGCTTATGATATGGTTAGTTTATGGTAATTAAGTTTTTCTTTTCTTTTCTTTTCTTGTGATGTAAAAGGGATATTGTTTGTTCTCCCCTGAAAGAAGGGGAGGATACCCAAAGATGATGAAACACTCCCATGTTAATTTTAAAAGAAAACTTGTTCTCCATAATCATTTATTCATCATTATTGCTTATTTTTCACACTCTTTTCTCTCCTCTCCTTTCCACTCTACTCCTCCTCCTCTTTTTTTTCCCCTTTGTTTACTATCGCCAATTACTCCTTCATTATTTTCCTCTTCCTCCTTCTCCTCTCTGTTTGTCAACCTTAATCCTGAGCAAAAGCAAATCAGCCAGCATTTTCAATAATATGGTAACAGTTATTTTTAGCATCATAGTTAGAGAACAGCACAGATTGAAAAATGGCAAATGTTGGAATAGAGAATACAGTCAAACTAAGAACAAAACCTACGTTATTCTGCGTTTTGAAGTCTGCTTTTCACTGGGACTCAGGGACCAAATAAACATGTGTGCTTGACATTTCACATGTTATGCACTTGTGTTTTCTATTCTGCATTCATTACTTACAAGGTTGTTCAATGCCTTTATCATTCTATTCATTTATCTTGTAATGCTTACTGATGCTATTAAAGGTTGTCATTGTTACTATTATGGCCCCTACTAGTTTTCTTAGACATTGTGATAGCTTTTGCGGTGAGTATTGTCATTTTGATTTACATGATTTTTGCCCTGCATCAAAAACTTGTACGTCATCAAAGCAGTCGTCTGTGTTTCTCTTGAATGGAGAGGTGTTTTTATTATGGAATGGAAGACTTTTAAACGCTACTAGAGATTGGCACTTTTTCCTCTGCTGATCTATTCTTATTCTATCTTTTCTCTTTTTTCTGTCTTGGGAAGGTGGATTTTAATGGATTTTGAAGGAGTGGAATTTCATTGGTTGTTTTTGGGTTTTGCTTCTGTACTGTTCACATCATCATCATTTTTCTTCATATATTCATGATAGCTGTTATTATTATTACCATCGTTATTATTATTAGTAGTAGTATTGTTTTTGTTACTGTTTTCAGTATTATTACATTGATTATTAGTATTATGAGTGTTATGGCAGAAGTTATTGATTTATATATTTGTACCACTATTAGAATTATGTTTTTGCATTAAACAAGATGAAGATAATGATAATATTATTATTATAATATAGCTGATATTATTATTGATATTATGGATATTAGTATTTTGAATTTATTTTGTTTTCCTTTTGACAGGCTGTTAGTTATAATTGTACTTTTCATTGCATTTTTGCTTTTTTCAATGACATATATTTTTTTATTAATTAAATGATCTAGGCACTAGGGACCTAGGCATTTACTATTAAGGAACTTAAACTGGAGAACTATTTTATACTGATATTGAAGACTTCTCGTATTATTATTCTGCTTCTTTTTCTTTCCTTTTGCATGAATAATATGTTAATCCTGCATATGCTGGTTGATATGCAAGAGTTGTCTTTTGCTTGCCAAAAAAGAAAATTTGAATTAAAAATTTGCAACTTTCCTTCCTTCCTTCCTTTCTTTCTTTCCTTTGGAAAAATATTTAAATGTATTAAACTTTTACTTGCATTTATTTGATAGATGCTGAATGAAGTTTTTGCTATTGATGTTGCATATATGCTAATATGTTTCTTGTTAATATGTGCATCATAGCTGTTATGATGCTGTTGTGGAGGCTCCGATACAAAAAGTATGTTCCTATGGCTAGTCCTTTTATTAAAAGGGTTACAATTGTACAATACCAAAAAAGATGACGGAGTTGAGACAAGACATTTTTTGTCAGTTGTTAATGATAGCTTCTTTGTTTGGCACTGATTGATGTTATTCTCATTTGATTCTACAATACCTTGGAAAGATAACTATGCAAGAATTCTGTTCTATAACATGTGGTATAAGGAAAAAGGATTGCTTTTCTTTTTGAGTGAAAACCTTCTTCCATTATAGTGTACATACTGCAACTTTTCCATATAAAACATATTTTGATAAGTAATGATGACTAGTAAGAAACATCAAACCACTTAGTGCCTTACAGATTATCAGTGTGCTGGAGTTGGTAAATATGCTCAAGATCTGGAGGTGAAGGTGTATGCCATATATTAATGGGTCTGCGGATTTGATTATGGTTTAGTCCACTGGATTTGTATTAACCAAAGGAATCATGATAAAAAAATGTGATTGTTAATCTTAGTATCATGTTAATTTTCAATGGTTAAGTGATAAATGTACTTATGAGTAATATTTTCATTTTCTTTTTTTGTATATTATTTTTTTTGTAAGTATATAAAATGTTTTCAGCAATCTTTGTATTATTGTTTTCCTCGGTGTACAGTTTTCTAATAAAAGGAAAGAAATGTTATTTGAAAATGAATATCTGCCATTTCATAGCAATGGCAGATATCAATTCTTCCATTCTGTTTGTTAGATGAAAAGCATACAAAAATAAAACTGTGCTTCTAAAACATCATAAAATAGAAAATGTACAGACGAATGAACTGAAAAGTGAACTCCAGCCTTCAGGAAATTATTTTTAATTCACTTTTTGTGATAAGGGGCAAAACATTGTATACAGAGTCCTACATTGCATTTGGCACAATAGGTTCTTGGGAAAAGGCTTTCTTTAGCAAAGTCTTTGCTGTTACTGCTTTGCAATAACATGGCCCTTTCTGCCATACTGAGCATTACCAAGGCTTCTAGATAGGCTTGAGGCATTGCTTTTTCTCCCCATTCTTCTGCCTGCATCGCCTGACTTCAGATATGGCACACATACTACTGTTTTGAAGCTTACTAAATCAAGCTGCTCTTCTTGATTGAGGAACTTGTGGATAGCCCATGCTATCCACAAGTATGCATTGAATACACAAATACACAATCATCGTATCTAATACACAATTGAAGAGTGGCCAGTACCACTTCTTTCCCAGCAGAGATGTTACATACCTCCCAGCCAACCAATCATGGTGATCTATGCCTCCCATAATGGGACTAGTTCTGGACATTTGGCTGAGGAACATCGCCTTTTACTTTTATATAACTTTTCAATCTCTGTCCCTTTTTGACAGGCTCATTGGTATCATAGTTTGTTCCAACACACACTTGTCAGACTATCTAACAAAAAATATTGTGTGAAACATAATCATAGGTTCCTTGTTTCTCCATGATGTGTGTTGGCCGTAAAGGACATTTTCTCAGGTTTATTTTCCTTGAATGTACCTGGGGCTTGATAACCAAGATTCCTAAGATGAACCAACAAATCATACCCAGTGAAGAATTTGACAAAGAAAACAGAGTTAGAACGGAAGACTTTTACAGCCTATAAAAATAGCCTTTGTTCTGAGTAACAAACCGTCATCATCTTCATTCGTAGAACTCTTATCACAATGCAAATCAAAATTGTAACTGTACCTGAGCTGATGGGTTTGCCTCTTATAAACTGCTTTAGTGGGTTATGACCTTAGTACTTCACAGCCAGTTCATCTACAGATATGCATTCCTCAAATATGCTAAACCGCTGAAATACCTTTGATTAGTGACACTAGAGTCCTACTTTTGAACCCTTTCGACAGGTACATTGTCCTTGGCTTTATTATTGAAAAATATACCAATCTTTACACAAGATGACAATGACCCCGAGATCTTCCTCATTTAACCCATGGTGTCTCTCAGAACTTTGTGATATCCAGAAAATAGTAGTATCCCAATGAACGTTTTCAGCTCATCAACAGTGAATGTAAAATCACATATTCTGTGACCAGTAGGAGCACATGATTTCATGATATTATCCCAGAGTCCCCAATCGACGCAGTCTCTTAACATGTGAATATATATACATAACTGATATGGGTATTGTAGTATTCTATTTACATGTTAGGATGGTGGCTTGCTTGTAGCTCAATTTAATATGGAAATTAGACCCCAATTGAACTCTGAAGTATACACCAGTGAAACAGATACTGCCTAAGGTTGTCGAAAAAAAATTGTTTTTTTTTTTTATTTATGTATGTTCAAGTTGTTCCATTAGCTATTTTATAAAGAAAGGAATGTTTTATTAAAGGTCCTCAAATGAGGACGCTGGGACACAATGGGTTAATCATGAAAACTATTTTATCATCGTGTAGTTATCTTACTGCTGGACTGTACTGTACATATTTCGATCTTTGGAGGTTACCATTAAAAGTGTTAAAACAAAACAAAAACGTGTATTTGCTTGGCTGGGAACAATCAAATGGCATTGGAATGTTAATGAAAATTTGAATAGAACAGTTCAGATACTTATTTTTTAGAATTTAGAGTTACATATTATTTCAAGGAAATTACAGTTCATCTCTACCCTCCTGTCTCGTGTTCGGAGCCTCGATTTGGCTCTCCGCCCCAGTGTCTGTTTCAACGCGCTTGTCCTCAGACGAAGGCTCTTTAGGGATATCCGAAGCGGTCTCAGACTCGGCACCTTCCTGTTCCTTCGTGGCTTCTTGAGTACCTTCCTTCGTGGCTTGTTGAGTACTTTCCTTCGTGGCTTCTTGAGTACTTTCCTTCGTGGCTTCTTGAGTACTTTCCTTCGTGGCTTCTTGAGTACCTTCTTTTGTGGCTTCTTGATTGCCTTCGGTTTCCTGAGTATTTTCTTCTGTGATCTCCTCGACCTTCAGGTTCTTGACCTTCTCGCGGTGGAGGATCACGTTCTGCTTCGTGGGCAGTGAGAACCAGAAGTCCCGCGTCTACAGATGATGGACAGGCAAAGAGTTTGAGAAGCAAAGCAAAGAAGGGAAGAGTGGAAATCGTTAGAGTAGAGTATCATATTTCGAATCTTTCACTTCATAAGCGTTTGGATAGAATAGTTAGAACTTCCCACCACGCAACCCACCTCCTGTCGAGTGTCGTTCTCCATAGTAGGGTTCGGGGTGATGGCGAGGTAGCTCAGGTCGCCGTTCTTCATGGGCTCCCACTTGAAGCCCAGGCTGTCGTCAGGCGTTGGGTCTCTGAGGAAGAGAAGGACTTAAATCGCACACTCTTCTGTATAGCGGAGTGTTGTACACAGGACACTAGACTAAGAAATGCCATGAATGAGCCTAAGGTCTTTTCGCTTTATTGCTGCGTCATATTTGTGAGTTTTTAGTGAAGATGAAACTACTCTAGATAGTTGACACATAGCAACTATCACCTGACATCCCCCTTTACTATACCTTCCTTTAGTGCTATATGACCTTAGATGTCTAGCCCATTTATTTTAACCATTAACCATTAGTGAAGATGAAAAATTTATAGATAACCTAATGTTGTTTAGACGTTTCAATATTAGCATACATGTTGACATGTCATTCGTAGGTTTTAAAATGTGCTAGGGGTTACGTTGACAGGTTATATTTAATTCCAAGTGTTATGTATATCGAATGTATTCATGACTTGTTGCATGCCTGTAGCTTAACGTACAGCATTGTGTTGTATGTGCTGTGTCGAGATGTTATGTGTGTTCAGATTGAAGTGATTGACTTTGGTTCTCAAAAAGAGCTTCGAATATAACCGTAGCCATCGCTAAGAACGCCAATCCCCTACCCCGTAAGGGCGAAGTTCGTCCAGAGAGTCGAAAAGATGTCCCTGACTTTAAGGTCGTCCTCGTCCTCCAGCGGGGCAAGCAGCGGACCTCCTTGGAAGAGGTAGAAGAGCTCGTCCCCGTGAGACACCCCTGGAAGGCAACTGTAACTTGTAGGTCCTTCATGTCTGAGAAATAGTCCGTTGTTTGAAATAACTAAACGTCGAGTTAATTAAAAGCATCCTTGGGAAATAAGCCATTTTTTCAAATACATTATAACTGACCACTTTTTTGTTTTTGTTATTTTCCTTGCTGCAGCCTTTATTCTTTGAACAAAGAAGAGTAAGAACAGTGAGAAGTTTGACCCTCACAATCTCTGCCGAAATCGAGAGAGAAAGAGTCGCCGAGGGACTTTTTCCCGCGGTGCTTCAGCTCGTACCGGAAGACCCTCTTGTTCTTCCGGCCGCAGTTGTGGTCGTGGAGGAGGGAAGTCAGGTCGTGGCAAACGGCGAAATGTCGGTCGCTGAACATCTGAAAAGAGGGAGGTGAAAAGGTCAGTCTTGTTGGCAATGAAGAAATTTGCGGATATTGTGGAAGTATGATTTTTAACACGTTCTCATGTGGAAATACTGCTTTAACCATGCACGCACTTTCCTCCTCCTCCTCTCTCTCTCTCTCTCTCTCTATCTCTCTCTCTCTCCTCTCTCCCTCTCTCTCTCTCTCTCTCTCTCTCTCTCTTCTCTCTCCTCTCTCTCTCTCTCTCTCTCTCCCTCTCTCTCTCTCTCTCTCTCTCTCTCTCTCCCTCTCCTCTCCCCTCCTCTCCTCTCTCTCCCTCTTCTCTCTTCCTCTCCTCTCCTCCTCTCCTCTCCTCTCCCTCCTCCTCTCCTCTCCTCTCCTCTCCTCTCCTCTCCCTCTCCCTCCTCTCCCTCCTCCCTCTCTCTCTTCCTCTCTCATCCTCTCACTCTCTCTCTCATCTCACACCTCATCTCTCTCACGTCTCTCTCCATCTCTCTTCTCTCAAACTCTCCTCTCTCTCATCTCTTCGAATCTTCATCTCTCTCTCATCCTCTCTCGCGATCCATCTCTCTCTCTGTCCTCTCCTCTTCCTCTCCTCTCCTCTCCTTCTCTCTCTCTCGTCTCCTCCTCTCCTCTCTCTCCCTCTCTCTCTCCCTCTCCTCTCGCCTCTCTCTCCCTCCTCCCTCTATCCTCTCCTCCCACTCCCTCCCTCTCTCCTCCCCTCTCCTCTCTCCTCTCCTCTCCCTCTCTCCCTCCTCTCCCTCTCTCCCTCCCTCTCCATCCTCTCTCTCCCTCTCCTCCCTCTCTCTCCCTCTCTCTCCTCTCTCTCCTCCCTCTCCTCTCTCTCCCTCTCTCTCTCTCTCCCTTCTCTCTCCTCATTCTACTCCTCTCCTCCTCCCTCTCTCTTCTCACCCCTCTCTCTTCTCACCTCTCTCTCTCTCTCTCATACATCTTCTCTCTCCTTACTCTCTCACCTCTCACCTCTCTCTCGTCCCCTCTCTCCTCTCACCTCTCTCTCTCACCCTCTCTCTCTCACCCCTCTCTCTCTCCTCTCCCCTCTCTCTCTTCTCCCATCATCTCTTCTCTCTCATCTCTGTCTATCTCTCTCTTCTCATCTCTCTCTCTTCTTCTCTCTCTCTCTCTCTCTCTCCCCTCTCTCTCTCCTCTCTCACTCTCTCATCTCTCCTCTCTCTCCTCTCTCTCCTCTCTCTCTCTCTCTCTCTCTCTCTTCTCTCATCTCTCTCTTGCTCTCCTCCTCTGTCTCGCTCTTCTCTCTCTCTCTCTCTCTCTCTCTCTTCCTCCTCTCTCCTCTCATCTCTCGCTCTCCTTCGTCTCTCCTGTTCTCTCTCTCCCTCTCTCATCTCCTCTCTCTCTCATCCCCATCTTCTCTACTCTCTCCTCTCCCTCCTCTCTCTACGTCCTCTTCCTCTCTCCTCTCCTCTTCCTCTCCTCTCTCTCTCCTCTCCCTCTCATCTCTCCCTCTCCCGCCCCTCCCCTCCTCCCTCCACGTCCCTCGCCCATCCTCTCTCTCTCTCTCTCTCTCTCCTCCTCCCTCTCCCTCTCCCTGAACGCTCCCTTACCCACCTCGCCCCTCCACTCCCTCGCCGTCTCCCTCTCCCTCGCCCCCTCCCTCTCTCGTCCCTCTCTCCCTCTCCCCACCTCTCCTCCTCACCCCCCTCCGCCACATCAGTCCACCCCTCGCTCTCTTCTCCTCCTCCTTCCTCGCCCGTCTCTCACTCCTCTGCATCTCTCATCTCTCTCTCTCCTCTCATCTCTCTCTCTCTTCTCTCTCTCTCTCACCAAACACCTACATTTTTGACGTTCTCTGCATCATTTTCATTGAAGTTGATTCCCCCGAGGTAGCGGTCGAAGATGAGCAGCGTCTGGTTCAAGGGGGATATGTCGCCCTCGCTGAACTCGAGGGCCACGGGCGCCGACTCCTCGAAGTTGAAGCGCATGGCGGACCGGAGGGCCTCGTTGCCGAACGTGGCTGAAGTGCGGAGAGAAGGGAAAGTCATTTCACTTCATAAGGTTGGTTTTCCTATCATTTGCTTGCGACCCTGGAACGGCGGGTGGCGTAATATTACACCCTTATATTGGTAGAGCGAGTGACGTAATATTACACCCTTATATTGGCAGAGCGAGTGACGTAATATTACGTTCAAAGCCCGGGCGTGTAGGACTGAGCCGCTCCCCTTCGCCCGTCCTTCTGGGGTCAAGATCATGGCAATTTTTTTTTCTTATTATTTTTCACTAGAGGAAATAGAGCAAAAGAATGACTTACGGAGGGCGAATATCGCTCCTTCGTCCTTGGTAATTCCGGAGATAATGTCAATCTTCTTGTGCCTCGACTCCTTCAGCAGCTTCTCGGGATCGTGCGGCAGGAAGGAGCCGTCCACGCGAGGCCCCAGCAGGATCGGGAGCGTGTACCAAATCTGCCACGGCCAAGAAACTCACTACGGGATCACCTTTCTCTGTGTAGGCGTGTATGTGTGTGGGTAGGCATGTGCGTGTGTGGATTAGACGCGTTTTCTAAATAATTTCAAAGGGGAAACTGCTGTGTAGGATGTCATTTTATTTTTTTATTTATTTTTTTTTTTCGTGCCGAGGAATATATTCAATGGCGGGATCCCAACATGGTTCGGTGTCTAAAACAAATAGATGGTTCTGTGTCGCGCGGATGGAATGAACAGCTGGTTCTGAATCTTACGGGCAAGGGGTTCACTGGCTGTGCAGATTGTATGAGGGATAATGAGTTCTGGAATCGGTAAAGATTTAAAGATTTAGTTTTAATTCCATTTGTTACAATGGATATTCTTTGCTGTGACATACTGTCTGTTTTATTTTGCCCACGAAGGGAGAGAAGACAAGCGCATATAATTCTGTTATGACAGGATTGAACTTCTCTTGTTTATAACAGAGGTTCTTCTTTGGGGTAAGCTTCCCAAGGGGAGTTTAGGCATTTCTAAGGTTATGGGAGCCTTAGGGAATAGTTTATTTAATGGTGTTGGTTTTTTATGGGTGCGAGTTTAATACTGATTCAGCGGAAGATGCAAAGTATCACCTTTCCTAATTTTCCATCTTTTGTACTTATACAACCACCTTCCTATCCTTCGAAATGCATGGAGTCTTGTAAATTACTCTCAATCCTTAATGATTTACGTTGCGGACTGGTGAGCCCCGTTGCCTCCCAGTCTCGCGGTAAACCATGCTCTCTTTTCAATTCCCTTTAAATATGAAACGGAATCTTATTTAAAGATTTCAAAGCGAATTTATAGGAAGAACAACTTTTTAGAAATGTGGTAGTTTCAAGGTTAAGAACCCCTGATTTAGAATGTGTTGTTAT